ATGTGTGATACCTGGTAAAATTCAATCCACTAATAAGCGAGATAGCCTTCGGGTGTAGTCGCCTCACCCCCCCCCCCCCTTAATAATCAAATTAACGTCCCTGATCCAGTTTCGTCTACTGTTTAGGTTGTTGGGCTCGCAACCAAAAGGTTGTGGATTCGAACCGCGTCAGGGGCTCAAAGCTGTGTTTTTGAGAAAGGCACTTTTACACGAATTGTTCACACTTATCCTGTTTGGATTGGATACCTGGCTACAGACAGCAAGGTGGCCTAGTGGTTAGGCTACCGGACTCGTAATCGTGAGATTGCGAGTTCGGGGGTTCGAGCCTCAGCGCGGTCCGACGTTGTGTCCTTGGGAAAGGTATTTTACACGAACTTCCCACTTGGCTCGGTCCTATCGGAGACGGATGTTAAACTAGGAGGTCCCGCCCCTTAAATAACCTAATAGTGTTGATAGGGGCGTTAAACCTATACCATTTCATTTTCATTTCATTTCACAGACAGCAAAAGATCTTGACAGTTTATTTGTGTGTGAGCACTCTTAATCGGCTGCTTACACTGTATGCTTCCCGGGAGATCGAGAATGTTTCTGAATATTTTAGGGTCTGCTAGGACAATAATGTAGATTGTAAAGTGCATAGAGCTTGCTTCTGTGCAGGGATATGCGCTACGTCAATGCTATTTATCTTTAATAAGTAGCCTATCCGCTTTCATGTCAGTTTCTGAATCGTTGAGCGCTGTAATCTTTTCTGCTGTCATACGTATTTCAAGTTGGGTGGACACGATACAAAGCTTTCATTTCTCAGGTGCTTCGTATTGTACTCATATGAAGAGGTTCTCATATTGAGCATGGCGGCCTGGAGTGATGCTATCAGATTTTTTTTAAAGAATAAAGATTTAAACGAAACATGTTTGGAAAAGCCAATATGGGAAGAAAACTCAAAAGATACGAGCAGTCGTTACGGACCCACTCCTGTTAAAGAACAAAACATTTCAGGACGTAGCAGCTCGGCAGCCAATACATAATATAGTGGCGTCAGGGGCCTAGGGATTAAGCTCTCGGACTCGCAACCGAAGGTCGTGTTCGAATCACATCTGGGGCCTGACGTTGTGTCCTTTGGAAAGACACTTTACACGAATTTTCTTTACTACGCTCTAGTGAAAATGGGTACCCAGCTGTAGACAATGAAAGATCTTGTCAGTTTGATAGTGTTTGAGCGCGCGAAATCAGCAGCTCCCAGCATAGGCTTCTCGGGAAACCGAGAATGTTTCTGAGTGTTCTGTGGCCTCCTGGGGTAATAATTAATAGTTGTAAAACGCATAGAGCATTCTGTAGAACGTGAATATGCACTATATAATACAAAATATATGCATTTAATATCACATCTTAAACAAGTGGAAGATGGTGTAAGAAATCCTTTGTACCTCCAGGAAAACAATTATTTTCGGGAGAGAAGAGGTTCTCTGTCTCTATTAATTTTATTTAAAAGCCCTCCCTGCGCTTGTCCTTATAGTTATAATACTGTGTGTTTATTGTGAGGGAACAGTTAAGTGATGGTAAGAGTGAGAGAGGGGAAAACCAACGTGTTGACATGAAACTACATTTGTACATTTTATGTCTTTGAAGCTTGTGAAAGTCCAGTGTCATTATCTTCAAGTAAAGGTGATTAGAGAACAATATATTGTGATAATGGGCAGTTATGATGTGGTATTCCTATGGTGCCATGACATTCCACCAAGCAACTGTTTCTGTCCAAAAACACCTCCCACTGGCCAGGCAGTGGAACGAACTTAACCAACGCGTGAAAGTTCCGGGTTTGAACCTGTACTAAGTCCGAAATCAAGTCTTTCTGCCAACCGTTTTGCATGAGAACCCACCGTCCTGAGATGGTCAATTTTTGCTTGTTGGTCTCCGGATTTTATGTAAATCATGCCAAGAAACGCGTTAAGCGTCACATGTTTTAAGTATAAACCACACTGCGCCTTCAGTCACTGTTCTGAACCTATGGAAAACACCCAAGCTTGTACACGTACATTTATAGCGTAAAGTTTGTTTAGATTTTCGCTTTTTTGCGAACTCAGTTCTGCACTGTTGGTATTTTCCCTAGATGTTATAGCATCGCGTCCTTGAGCCACGGAGAATTGATCTCGAAATAATAACCCACTGACATTTAAAGGGGAACCCGCAGCCTTGTAATAGGTTATAGGGGAACACCATCATTTCGAAACAATAACAAAAGTGGAAAAACGAAACAGAAATGATGGATAGAGTTTTCC